ACATATGGCGAGACTAACATATATGGTAATATATTTTATACAGGGTCATTGGCCAAATTTCACCAAAAGTGGAAAAGAGAGAATTCTCCATTCTTATCTGATATGTATACATTACTTATGTTGTGTAGAAAGTTTGAGCTAATTTCGATCAAAATTGAATTTTTTATCAATTTTTATAGCTGTTCTAAAATTGGGCCGAAGTCCCTGTACTATGGTCTTTTATGAAAGATGGTTAGGAAAAAATTTTACATTTTTATAATTTTTCCTGATACATGTACATATATACGTATACTTATGTTGCATAGAAAGTTTGAGTTGATTCTGATCAAAATTGAATATTTATGATTTACCATTTTTAATATTTCTTTTTTCAATCCTGTCTCTTTCTCTTCCAGTATTTCTATTATGCTCCATTATTATTTGTCACTGTACTCAATGCACTGGGTTGCTTTAGCAATTATGATGAAGTAAGTGAAGCTTACATGTATAGCTTAATTAAGTCACACATTTTTATAGAAAGAGTGATAATAATTTTTGGTTAAATTACAGTAACATTGATATCATGACTGTGAGCAGGCAGAAGGTGAGGTAGTGGGGTATGGTTGATTTGTGTAGCTGTCAAGCTTGCTGGAAAAAAGTACTACATGTACAGGTACAGGTACTTTGTACTACATGTACAGGTATGCTGTATAGCTGTAAATTTTGGAGGGAATTAAATTTGACGAATTCGGAATTTTGATAGCCATTTGCCAAAATAAAATCTGCCATTTTAAGCCATCATACGCATGCTCAATGGCATGTGGCCACTAATTTGCCACTCATCAAATTTAAGTAATTTGCTTCCTCCAAAATTTCCCTCTATACGGTATCAGCTGTTTAGAGAGCCTTTACCAAGAAATTATATTAGTGTCATGCGTATTAGGTATAAATCTTGACTATAATTATTCATTATTGTCATTATTATTATTATTATTATGTTATGTTTATAGGTGATGAGTTGATGACGTAACTGTATCTAATCTTGGTAGAATAGTGTTAGCTTCTAGAATACCATTAGTAGTAAGTTAGTATACATGTACATGTATTTGCATTTTTCATTCCTATTGTCACATGTATTATGTAGTTGCAGTAAGATCATAAGTGTTGTGAGATTGTACACCATATGTGTACTGTATACCATATAGTGGGGATATTTTGTCTGGAAAAAAGTTTGTTCTAAGCACGATTAGAAATTTTCATTTGTTTTATTTTTGTTCTGAGCAGCCGTTTTGGACACGTGGCATTGAGGAAATGCCTTTTTTATTTGGAAAATAATCATTCCACAAGGAATGAGAACAAGAAGAATGAAATTAAATTTTGATTGAATACACCCGTTCTATGGTACTGGGCCTGTTTGGTTGGTCAAGTTGTTTTCATTCTCCAAGCTTTGAAGCTAAATATGATACATGTACATGTAAACTTACAAAAACAGACCGAATACAATCAAAAATAGAATGATATATGATAAATGCAAAGAGTTGTACACACAAAAAGATTAAAGTTTTGCCCAATGAAAGAAGTTAATAGAGCATTTGGTCCAGAGTCTGAAATTCTTTATTATTATTTGTTCACTATTCTTCTCTTGTATTATTCTCCTTTTCCTAACTCCTATTTAGTTTAAGCATACACTGCAAAAATAATGGTGGGTTGTTCACACCAAAAAAGGTGTGTTCAAAAGTCATCATATAGCTCACTCCATAAGTGGGTAAATTACACTTTAAAAAGTGGAGATTCCCACTACTATAGGTGGGAAAAAGCTATCAATAATAGTGGTTCCGCAACATTTGCACAGTGGATAAATAGTTCAAACAAAAATATTTTTAAAATAAATACTATATAGATCTAACAATAATGTTTACAGTTTGTGTTCTTTCTTTCATGCATTCTTGAACATGCACCTATAGCAAGAGACACAATTAGAAAAAGAGATGGAAACACCCAATTTCCTTACTGTGTCATTGGAATTGTAACAGCTAAAAAGCAAAGTCTTAATTGTCTTGTATTGAATCAGCCAAGGCACAAATCATTCAAATGAACATTACTATAATTACAAACAGTAGCCTATGTAAATGGGGAAGGAAGAATAAAGGATAATCAACAATAATTATGCATACTATGTCATGATATACAAGTCTTCTATACAAATTCAGGCACAGCTGAGAGAAACAAAGAGAGAGAAAGGAGAGATGGAGGTAAGAAAAACAGGAGCAAGATAAAAATTTAAGCAAGTAATAAAACGCTTACCATGTCAAAAAAATATTCAATAAGGAAGCCATGTAATCAGACACAATTCATTTGAACATAACCTAAAGGTAGGGGAAAGAGAGGGAGATAGAGAGAGGGAGGGAGAGAAAGAGGAGGAGGCAGATAAATTTTAAGCAATAATAAATGTTTACCATCCATGTGAACAAAATTAAATGATACAGTCTTGTACACTCAGAGACACAATACACTTAAAAAGAAGTTAAAACCTACAGGTATAGGACAGAGACAGAGAAATGAGGAGACAGAGAAATGAGGAGACAGAGAAAGGAGGAGACAGAGAGAGGAGGAGAGATAGAAGAGGACGAAAGAGATAAAATTTCAAGCAAGTTAATACAATGCTTACCATATCAAAAAAATGATGTAATCAGATACAATTCACTTGAAAAGAAGCTAAAACCTATACTGAGGTAGGGGGTGGCGACGGAGAAAGCAGAGGAGAGAGAAAGGAGGAGGCAACAAGAAAAAAGAAGCCGCAGAAGAGAAACAAAAGGGAGATGAATTTTTAAGCATGCAACTAATAAAATTCTTACCACATCAAAACAAAATCAATAAGCAAGTCTTGTATGGATGCGATCCATTTTGAACACAGCTATTGGTAGTCTTAGAGGAAAAGAGAAAGCAGAGAGTGAGAGTACTTTTATATTGATTATTAGCATGCCATGTCATGAGAGTTTTATAACAACAATATCAAGTCTTACTCAATCAGTCTAGACACAAATCATAGCCTAAGGGGACAGCCTGAAGGAAGAGTCACAGAAATAGCTGCTGACATGGAAGCGGGCTTCGAAAATGAGATAACTAAAATAAAATGAGCAAAACTATCGTAATAAATACATAACAGAAGTAGTACCATACTTTTCTGGGGATTTCAAAGAATACAGAGGCAAAACTAAGAGCTAAACGGCCAAAAAATAGACTGGCAGTAATGGAGGACAAAGAGAAGGAAGCCATTTGCAGCTGGAATAATTTGGAACTGAACTGCGCATGCGCAGTGGGCGTGGCATTACTAGATTAATTATTACATTATTATTATGAGTGTAATTATTACACATTGATGGTGGGTATTTTCCACCAAAGGGGGAATATAACACCAGGGGGTTTCACCCACATTGGTGGAAAACCAAAAAGTGGGTACCTTCCACAGATGTGGTGGGTATAACCCACCATCGTTTTTGCAGTGTATTATCTATTGTCTAATTCTTTTTATCTTTTACCATTATCACTCACCTACATGTCTCATTTACTCTCCTGCCTTTCCCTTTCCATCTTTTTCTCTCTCTCTTTGCCCCTCTACCTCTCACAGGCTTGACCTAGTTTAAATGATCCAGTTTATTAAATGTAGTAGAAGAGAATGGAGATGGTAACAAGGTGAGAGAGTAAAGAGAGAGTCAGATGAGAGAAGGGATTGGGGAAGGAATAAAGAGAATGTACTTTAAATGTGTACATGTACATGTACATGTTCATGTATTCTGGGAATGTGATAATGTGATTCATGCACAATAAAGTAATAGCGTTATTATAATATCAAACAATCAATAATGATATTTAGTGTTATTGGTGTGTTCCAGTAACTACTTTCATGAGGTGCTATATACCACACACATACACTGATACACCCATCCTTCATTATTCTTGGCCTGTTGCATATCTCAATTTAACTCGATGGTTTGTCAAATGTAATGAAATAGTTTTAAAAATTAAGTGCCGTGTAGCAAAGCATGATGAAAGCCAGTGACCAAATTTAGGCAAATATCCAGTACATGTAGAAAGGCAAACGATTGCAGACATTCTCTCATGACAATGATGAGAGTAATTCAATGATAGTTGAGTTAGTTTAGTGTGCTCTTTATAAATGTAGTTAGTGATACAGCTAGGGATACATCTCTGAGAGAGTGATTAGCTAATGCTATGCCTACCTCCCTCCTTGCAGGTGATAGATAGTGCTATTACTGTGTTCTAGTAGCTATTCTGTATCTACCATATACACAGTTGATGCATCCCCTGTGTTAAATATTACAAGCTTTGTGCAAGAAACTTCTTGTTCTTTTATAAAGTATTATATTATTTGAGTTATTTTACTATTTTTT